AACAAGCAATAACAAAACAAAACAAAAATGGAAATTTGGCTACATGTTGTTAAATGGTTGTACATGATGAGAAGACACATGAATATGGATACATCTCGAAGACACAAACTTATATTTTTCAAGAAGAGAATCGCACATGTGTGTGGTCAGAAATGTTTAGTTTATAACTTTGATAAAAATCGTTAAACTTGTAATTGACAGGTTTTCGACGTTGTCAAACGATGTCCTCAGAAAGTGAAGTACAAGTGTACATTTGTACTTCACTTTCTGCGGATGGCATTTGGCAACGTCAAAAGCTGTCAATTAAGAGTTTAACGATCTTTATCAAAGTCATAATCAAGTTCTTGCTGCTTGGACCATTTGGCTCAATTAATGTGTAGTTCCAGAAATTATCCATACCCCCCTCATGGAGGAATTTTTTAAAGACACCCCCCCCTACCCCCTGGAAATTCCAATATTCTTCCATACAAACTCTGTAATTTTTGTTCTTTCTCTGACCCCCCTACTCTTAGGAAATTCCAAATTCCTCTGTGGGGTGGGAATGGATAATTTCTGGAACTACACAAGCTAGAGAGGTCCAAGCTAAAGAGGTCTTAATTTAAAACATTACACTGTAGCTAGCAAACTATTCAAAGCCTTCCAGTATTGCTGTTTCATTATCTTTTCCGTTCTTTTTTCATCAACCAGAGAGTGGTGATYGGGAAAGATTTTGAGCATTTTGACCCAACAAGAGAAAGTCTTGATCAAAGACTAGCAGAGACTGAAGCTTATTACAAAATATTAACCAATCAAATCAAGGTATCTAAAATCTTTAGAGGATTTAATCTGTAAATGGGGAGGAAGGGAACAACACATCAAACAKACTGGAGTTATATAACAACATTTGCACGATGACACCATTGACCTAGTTATACCACAATCCCTTGCACTCTTTCTTTTGTTCATTTAATTTTCACCAATTGTCTTACTATTCTCATGAGGGAATACAAATTTAAATAAGAAAGAAAATTCACGAAGCATCTTGGTAGTGGGAGTCAAATGTTGCCATCATGCAAATGTCCTATATATTGCTTGAGTTTCCAAATCAGAATTGTGTTGGTTGATCACAGACTCATTTACTAAGAGTTAGCCCCATTTCAGTGTCAACAGAGCTCTATTTTTTTGCTGGACCAGTATAAAACAAGGTTAAAAGAATAATAATCTCCCACGTTTCCATGCAGGAAATGCAAATTACACAACTTTTAATAAGTTCAAAATTGTGTGACTGCCACCCCTGTTTTTAACCGACCCCTCCTCCACCTTCCCCCCTGTACTTTATGACCATTTTCTAAAACTGGTAGACTAGAAATGTCTTTATGTACTGGCAAATTAATTCTTACTCATSCAATTTGTAGCTTGACATAACAAAACCATGGGGGAGGGGTGGGGAGGTGAGTGGGGACTGGGACAACTGGGTCAAAAAGTGGGTTCCAGAGAGAGGGGAGGGTCATATGGGAATTTTGCAAACTATGCTACGCATGTGATGATATAATTCATCAATCCTACATGTATGTTCCTTTGCAGATAATGAAAAATCAGATAAATGCTGATGTTGACAGTCATTTATCACAAGTAAGATTTTGGAGTTTTTTATTTTTGGAGAACTTTATATTTCAATAAAATCAAAGTAAATACTATCTACTTAGTGACTAATAGTTGCTATCACTCAACCAGAACATTCATCATACAAAGACAAATCCACAAGAGACCATTTGTGTCTTTTGTTTAACAAATGTTCTGGTTGAGTGATAGCAACTATTAGTCACTAAATAGATACTATTAGTTAGTATTTAGTTTGATTTTATTTCACGGTTTAATTGCATCCACTCTTGCCAAGAAGGACTACTTATATTTATTTTGTTGTTTTTATTCAATAAAGCACTACTGTGTCTAGCAGGTTAAAGCTTTCAACTTATTAAATATTTATTCTAATTTCATTAAGTATTTTATRCAAAAATTCAAATTTTTTTTGAAATACTATAAATATTATATAGCAGGAAATTGGAAGTACGTTCATTTTCTAGAAATAATTGAGCAACAATAGAAGACAACACAATGCATACAATATAAAACAATACACTACTATACAATATATGCATTGTATTCGTCTAGAACATGAAATTATTACCAGGAAATCAATGTTTTTTCAATTTACAGTAAAAATTTCAAGAATTTCAATCCAATAGACTTATTATTTTTGTCACTAGATGACTTTATCTGCTGTATGGATGTCGCTTTGCTAAATGAACACAAATTGTTTTAAAGTCGTCAAGTTATTGTTTTGAAGAAAATATTTTTGTTCTGTTGTTGCAGAGATATGCTGTACTCAAGGAGTCATCAGAAGTAAGTAGAGTATTAAGTAATCAAGAAGTGTATGTAGAGATACTATAAAGAAATTAACTGACATTAGGTGACAATGTTTTCCCATTTCAGACCGCTTGTCGCTCCCTAGAGTATCATTTCTTTGTTTCACGGTTGTGCATGAGAAGGCACATGAATATGGATACGACTCAAACAAGAATCTTATTCTCGAGAGCATGACATATATTCATTTTTTATTCAAATTTGTACTTTTTCAAGATAATAGAAAGACAATATACCTCTCTTCCTTGGACCTAATGTTTTCCCATTCCAGACCACTTGTCATTCCCTAGAGTATCATTTTTTTGTCTAATGATTGCACACGAGAAAACTATGTACTTATTGACTGAGTGGAAGTGCCGTACAGGAAAATATTTGCGCGGATTCGAGCAGTGCSGTACAGATTCGTACAGCCCTGCTCACTCAAAGCCGTACGCCCTGTTCATGCCATTTTCCCGAAGRTTTTTTAAGAGTGCATGCATGATAAACAGGAATATGATACAATACAACTCAAACAAAGGATCTTTTTCTCAAGAGAATGACAGTTGGTCTAACATGGGTTACAAACATTACACCCAAGTCATTAAAGAGGTGTGTTTTCACATTATGTGTACAGAGAGTCTTTAATTTTGATTGGGAGAACCTACGTAGCACTCAGTTGATGTAATGTATTTAGAAARTCTGTTGTATATTGTCATTCTATCTATTGTATTAGGTGTGATTGTATTGATTGTATTGTATGATCAATACTACATCACATCAACTGTTTGCTACATATGYTCTCCCAGTTTTGATTCCTTACTTATGCCTCAGACATCACATAAAAAGTTTTGCCTCCTGAGATGATCCTCCCCTCCCCTTGGAAATTTGAATCTCCCTTCACGGGGGGGGGGGGGGGGGGATGGATGATAGAGCTATGAATTACACCCTAAAGATCGAGCTGACATACAAGGTGCTTTAATTTGCTTTTCAGAACATGTTGGATTCTGTTGGCAAATGTTTACAACTAATGTACTCAATTAAAGAAGAATGCGAAAAATCTATTCCCAAGGCACCACAGGACACCCAACCCTTGCTGGACATCGTCAGTGACCATTATTCTGAAGGAGATCAATCAAAGAGTAACCTTGTTCAAAATCAGATCCCCAGTGATATTTCTTCGTCTATTACCTCAGGCGAGAGAAAAAMTGACACCTCTCCCGAAAGACGGACAATGCGACAGAGCAAAAGCGAATCATCGCTATCTCTTGAAAAACAGTCACCTTCAAATGAAAACGAAAATGATGATGAAAAAAAACTTAAGAGCGTAATGTCGAAATCAAGTTTGGAACTAACTACTCCAACGACAGAGGWAGCAACTTTAAATTTCGACACTTCTGTCACACCCGTGGAAAATTGTACCGCTCGTCCAAATATTCCAGATTTTACCTCTCATGTTACATATGCTATAGCCTCTCCTGTAGTTGGTGATGTTAGTGTACCACTTGCGTCGTATTCCAGTAGTGACGAAGAAGATGTGGAGTTTTTTGACGCATCAGAGTTTTCAGAGAACCAAAGTATTGAACAGAAAGATGTAACAAGGTATTGTGGAATTTAGAATGATGCACTTTAACACTTTAATATTAGACCCTGGACCCTTTCTTTTTTTTTCTTTTCTTTTTAAACGGCCGTTTAATTTGTTTTATTTTATTTAGTCACTAATTTTATTTCGGTATTAAATTTATTCATGTAAAAAGAAAGATGGTCTCAGGGTCCAGCAGCACTTCACACGTGCGTTCACTAATGAAGTACAGTTTTTGACCAATCAGCGTGCATGTACTATCCTAACTACATAATAATAAGCAATAGCGTTCATTTCTCCAAGGATAAAAAATGTATTGTACTTTGGTACATCAACATGGGCACTGTGACGTCATGAGAAAAYGCTCTATAGCATGCACAGAATTGTAGAGTTTGCCATCGCCACAAAATAGGATATTGGTGATATCAAGTACAGTCTTTCCACTGGGCTGAAAGCCCCCAAAAACTTCAAAAAACGGCATTATGTTTTACAAAAAGAAAGAACAACCATTACTTCTTACGTTATTTTTACAAGAAAAATCAATTTTGAATTACCTCTTACATCCTAAAAAGATGCCATTTTGTTGCCACAGAGGGCCTCAACTTATAGACACTTTATTCTTCTTTCTTATTCTTTCCCTTCAGTTCTCAAAAACCAGCTTCCTTACAAGTTGCAATCCTAGATGATGAAGGTGAGTACCATATATTTCATCATAGCTGTGTCACATGTTCAGACCCCCAGACCTTACCCGTCAAGTTGCTTGTAGGTTCTCTCCTGTGTTCCTAGAGTTTTTTTTCTAGTTTCTCCAGTTTACCTCCCTCTTCAAATATCAACTTTTAAATTCCATTTGTCTGGTTCCAGAAAATTTCCATACCCCACCATGGAGGATATTTGAAAAAAGCTCCCCCCACCCCTCTGGAATGTCCAACTTTCTTCCATACGAAACTTGTAATTTTGTTTTTTCCTCTGACCCCCCACCCCTGGTAATATCTTAATTTATCCATGGTGGGGTATGGATATAAATGGGTATTGAACGTCACATTCCAAAGACTTACACTGTAGCTTACCACTGTTTAGATTACTGTCATTCAAGTAAATTGTTGGAATACAGTTCCTTTACCTTGACATTACTGTCGACTTATTTGATTGACAGTTGTCTAMTGCTCATAAACATGAYAACTATCTCAATCAGCGCATAGC